ATTTCTGTGACTCCAGAGTCTCCCCATTACAGAGAGTGGGAATGAGACTCAAAGCCCAGGGAGCTGACTCCTTGGGACACCTGTAGCAAGTGGTGGCCGGGAGAGGGGTAAGGACACCATGACTCAGCAACTCCCTGTTCTATGTGAGTACCTGCGACCAAGCTAATGAGTTGCTTGCACTGATTGCAACACCGAGAAATTGAGTCCTCTTGAAAGTCAATAGTTAAAAAAAACCACATTATCATTATCGTGTGTGTACATGTGTGTGCGTGTGCACGTGTGTGAGTGTGCATGTGTGGTGAAAGGACACCTGTGGGGTGGGCCCTCTCCTTACACCTTCACATGAGGTCGCCAGGGTTGCTCAGCAAGTGCTTAACTACTGAGCTCTCTTGCTGGCTCATAATATTAATCATTTATATTATTAAAATGCTGGAGAAGCCAGGCAGTGGTGGCGCACGCCTTTAAACCTAGCACCTGGGAGGCAGAGGCAGGCAGATCTTTGTGAGTTCGAGGCCAGCCTGGACTATAGAGCGAGTTCCAGGACAGCCTCCAAAACAATACAGAGAAACCCTGTCTCGAAAACAAACAAACAAACAAAAAATTGCTGGAGAGATGACTCAGCAGTTAAGAGCACTTATTGCTTTTGCAGAGGACCTGAATTCAATTCTGAGCACCCACCCTGGGTGGCTCACAACTGCCTTAAAATGTTCCAGGGGATCTGATACCTCTACTTCCTCAGGCACCTGTACTCATGTGTGTACAGACTGATACATGCACAAAACTAAAAAATAATAAAAATAAATCTTTGAAAAATACTTGCAAAATTTAAAATTTCACAAACATAAACACAATGTGCTCTGATAGTGATATTCGAGTTCATTACAACAGCCCATGATTTCTACAGGAAGTTTACACAGCAATTATAAGGAGGTGTCACTCCTGGTTCTGCGGATATAAATGCAGGCCACCTACTTATCATCCTTGCAGTGGTGCTGCCTCCAAAGCTCTGCCCCTCAGTCCTCCACTCCAGATGGAGTTCCTGAAAACCAATGGCAGGAACAGCTAGAAACTATACCAACGACCTACTTCCCTCATTTTCTTGCATAAAAAGTCACACACAAAAAAAAACTATTCTGAAGCAGCAGGAGACGTTTCTTTGCCAGTGTTGTCTCTTTTTCTGAAAGCTTTTAGAGCTCCAGGTAGTTGCTAGGAACTGAACTCAGGTCCTCTGGTGGAGCAAAGTGCTCTTAACCGCTGAGCCACCTTTCTGGTTAAGGGACGAGTTCTTGGTAGCTTTATATACAAGAAACTGGGGAGTCAGCAATAGGCTTCTCCCACTTGAGGTCGGAGGAGGGAAATGGCCATGCTATAGGTGAAAATAGATAACTGATTACGATAAAAACAAAGCTGATCACTAGGTGGCGCACACCTTTAATCTCAGCACTCAGGAAGAAGAGTCAGGCAGATCTCTATGAGTTTGAGGCCAGCCTGGTCTACAGAGTGAATTCCAGGATAGCCAAGGCTACACAGAGAAACCCTGTCTCAAAAAAAAAAAGAAAAGAAAAAGAAAACAACAAAAAGTGTCACAGGGATCTAAGGGCCTCAGGTGAGATGGGGCACGAGGGACTGGCTGCGAGCAATCCCCTATTTGGGCGCCATTTTGCATTTTTATCTGTTGCACAGCTTATGTTTGCTTGCTTATGTTTGAGTCAGGGTCAAGACTGCCTTGGACTTGCAACAACCCCCTCTTCTAGTTTCCCGTGTGCTGGGATTAGAGGTGCACCCCCATGCTCAGCTGAGGCTCACCTGTTGCTAATGTCAGTGTGGAAGTATGGTTCAATAGATGCCCCTAAATTTTTGGAAACCACTTTAAAAAAAATTTTATCTTATTTTATTTTGAGACAGTCCTGGCTGACCTGGAATTCACTGTGTAAACCAAGATAGTCTACACAGATCTGCCTGTCTCGGCCTTGGCAGTGCTGGGATTAAAGATATGTTTACCCTACCATAGTTTTGGAAACATCTGAATAGCCACACAGTACTTCTAAATGTCCAACCACTTTCTCACTATTAGATATTTGGGATTTTTAGGAAACTTTTTTTGCAAGTGAAAGAAGAGCAGGGCCTGATGGTACCCACACTTGTAATCTCAGCATTGGGGAGGCTGAGGGAAGAAGATTGGGGCAAGTTTCAGATCAGCCCTGGATACAGTGAGATCTTGTTTCAAAAAACCGACAACAGGGCTGGAGGGATGGCTGGAGTTAAGAGCACTGGCATCCTTCAAGAGGACCCTGGTTTTATTCCCAACACCCACATGGTGACTCATACCCATCTGTAACCCAAGTTGCAGGGTATCCAGAGCCTTCTTCTGGCCTCTGAGGGCACCGGCTACACATACAGTGTACAGACACACATATAGACAAAACACATACAAAAAATCCTAAAACAAATGTACAAGCAAACATACAACAGACCTAAAAGCAAAAACGAAAGCAAAGTAACAGGAGACTATCAGATGCCTCACTCTGAGTGAGAAAGGGAAATGCATGGATTCTGGGTTTTCAGGAAGAGCTGGGGTCCGCATCTGCTCAGTGCCCACTCTGCCCCAAAATGAGACACAAGCAGAGACAAGTAAACACAAGCGCATTTCAAAGGTATGACCTAGCCACACCAAGGGCATGGGGAGCCAAACCAAATAACTTCTGTACCCCGAGCCAGCTTGCACCCATTATGTAGACCAGCATCAGGTCTAACAACTATGCCTGTTTTCATAATGGTGAAAAACATGGATAACAAGTCTAAAATTGGTTTCTGTAAATGCTGGGGTTGAACATATAAAAATACTGTGGTTCTGGAATTCTGGCTAGCAGGAAAGGAATTAAAAGCCTGGAAATGATGGTGGCCTTGTGGACTAGACCTAGAAGTATGCATATGAACTCTCCCATGATACAAACTGAGAAGGCCACGCACAGCCACAGACTCAGAAGGAAACTAGATGACTTAGTCCTCACACATGCACAGCTGCCATTTCCCAGCTGAGAACATAGTAGCAGTGAATACACACTCTGCTCAGTTTGTCCAGCGGGCAGGGCTGGGGAAGAATCCAGGGTCTTCTGCATGCTAGACAGGCATGTACAGCTGAGCTACACTCTGCCTCTCCACACACATACACCCCCGTATCTACCATACCCTTCAACCATAACATCAACTATACTATATGTGTGCATGGCTCTGGTCACCAAACCCAGAACTCCAGGCCTGCTTGGCAAGCACTCTACTGCTGAATTTTACTTCTAGCTCCAGACGCTGGTTTTTACATATAGTGTCTCTATCATAATAGGATTCTCCTTTAAAAAAAAAAAAGATTCCAGTGAGGCATGGTGATGCCTGCCTATGATCCCAGCACTAGGAGGTGGGGCTAGCAGGAGGATGAGGAACTCAAGGCTATCTTGACTACACTACAAGTTTGAGGCCAGCCTGGGCTATGCGAGACTCTGCCTCAAAGAAAAGAAACAAGCTGTGCTGATTCCAGGGAAGGGGCAGAGAAATTAAATAATGGCTACAGAAGGTAGTGTTTTGTCAGAAGCTGAAGAGCACTCTAATCCCAAAGGACATATGGAGGAAGGAAAAGGAAGCTGTGTGGGGCACCATCAGCTGGGACTGGGCGAGTTTGGGACAAAAGCAACATTGGCCCGTCTGTGTCCACGGTGTAAAACAAGAGCCTGTGGGTTTACACACCACCAGAGACGGAAAAGTGCCCGGAATACAATCACTGATGAGCACGGAGCAGCTGTGAACCCTGGGGACACTGTGGTCGCTGTCCCTACCTAGGAATATGCAGTAAGTCAGGAATTGACACTGGTAGCTTAGCCTAGTGTAGACAGCCTGGAAGGAATCCGTGTCTACAGCGTCTCAAGCATCTCTTTGTGAAAAACAGGGTGGCCTCAAACTCACCACAGAGTCAGGGCTAGTTTTGGACTCTGGCTTGATCCTCCATCTCCCAGGCTGGACCAGCGCCCCCCCTCCCGCAGAAGGAAAAATGATGGGAGAACATAAGGACACCAGTGTTGAGAGTTAACAGTACCAGGGACAGTTACACAGTACAATCATACAGACAGTCTGGAAGACACAGCGTACGCTCAGTTTACTCACAGTCACCCAAACCCAGGGACACTGCTGGGAGGGGGGTGGCGCAGCACTTGGGAGGCAGAGGCAGGCGGATCTCTGTGAGTTAGAGGCCATCCTGGTCTACAAAGCAAGTTCCAGAACAGCCAGGGCTGCTGTTACACAATACACACTGTTGTGGAATACTACTTTAACTGGACAAAGATGTGTTACATTTGTTATGTTGTGGAATATTACTTGAAGTGAAGGTGTGTTATATTTGTTTCTGCTGCTTTTGTCTAACTATGTAAAGATGTGTTGCTGCTTCACCTTGCCTGCCTAAGGCACCTGATTGTCTAATAACGAGCTGAATGGCCATTAGCTGGGCAGGAGAGGGAGAGGTGAGGCTGATGGGCAGGGAGAATAAATAGGAGGAGAAATCTGGGCTCAAGAAGAATGAATTAGAGAACTGACTTCCCTCAATGAATGATGTGACATGGAAATGTACGCCGAATAAACCCTGTCCTCCTCAAGCCGCCTTTGGTCCTGGTGTTTCATCTCAGTGACAAGACAGTAAGCCAACACGATACTCCTGCCGGAGCACGTGTGTCAACGTCAGAGGGCAACTTTGGGAGGTGCTTCTCTCCATCCACCATGGGGGTCCCGGGCTCAGACTCAGGTTGCCAGGCTTGGTGTGAATGTCTTGACCTGCTGAGTCATCTCACCGCCCCAGTCCCATTGATCCCAGCGCCTCCACTCTAAACCACAATGCCCCACTGGCTGAGAGACTTTCCTTCACAAGGAAGAACAATCGGCCATACATTGAAACACTGAAGTTAAAAGGTAAATTTCACCTCTAATTTCGTTTTTCCCACCGTCCCATGACAGACACTGACCTGACAGAAGAACTGTGACTGCGTTCCCGGGGTGTTGCTGAAAGTGCTGGTAGGTTTGGAGGAAGAGACTGGAAGACGATGGGGCACACTGACTGGTCCTGGAGTCCTGTTTGGTTGTGCCAGCTGGTCTCCCGTGAAGTTCGATCCCGATGCCCCAGACTGCACTGTGGGATGAGCAGTGCTGGCTGAGCTGACAGCCGGGAACCGCGTGGGTCCTGACATGCTGGTCACTGAAGGCATGGCGGTAAAGCCTGGTCTTCCTTGGGAAGCGCTGCTCTGCCCGGGTGACAGGTGTAATACAGTCGGTGAAGCCCGCTGCAAGGGCATCTGCCCTCCGACCATCTGAGGAGAGGCATGGTTGACAATCACTGGACTTCCAGAGGTGGCAAAAGTCTGCCCAGACACCAGCTGGACAGCGGCGTTCTGGTTGTTAGGCATCTGTCCAGAGTACGGTTGGTTGGTCCTGAGCATGTTAGAGGAGTTCCTGTTCAACATGACATGCTCTGAGGCCACTTGGCCAGAGATGAGCTGAGAGGGCTGAGTCTGAAGAAGTTGTCCATTTATGGTCTGGACATGGTGTACCGAGTTGGAGCTGACGGAAAGGCTTGTAGGTATAAGGAACTGACTTTGGGGGGTGTGAGGCTGGCCCATGGGGGAATGAATGACGATACTGCCCCCTGCACTGCTCACGGCCTGAGAGGTGGCAGGCTTTCTTGTGTTCTGTTGGTTGACAATGTTCACAGACATGTGTGGACCAACCACAGAGCCCTGGGGCGAGCTTGCAGAGGCGAAGGAGATGCCCTGCTGTACATGGTGCTGCTGGATTCCCAGGCTGTTCACATTGTAGGCATTCTGCTGGCCCATCGGGATTGGCTTCGGCTGGATATTAATCGGGACTTTATTTGAATTTGGTGCCAGACCCCTTTGAATAATGATGTTATGCACAGGTAAAGATGCCTGAAAATTTGTGCTGTTAAATGGAACGGTGACAGGCTGTGCTACGGGACTGGAAGTGGAGTTCCCAAACAACGAGTTGCCATTAGGAGTCTGTCTGTGAACCAGAAGCCCTCCACTCACATTGGTTGGGGTTTGCTGCCCACTGCCTTTTAATATGATTTGCGAGCCATCTAGGTTATTAATAGTCATCATGGAAGGCTGATTACCAAACGACCCGATTAGCTGTATTTGCCCAGAGCCACTAATCTGGCTGCTGTTGGGCAAATGCTGGCTGGGAACACTGACCCCCACGTGTTGCATAAAGCCATGTTGCACACCCACTGTATTGCTTGCAAACGATGCTCCCACAGGCACGTGGGTCACCCCGATAGGCTGCAGCGTCTGCCCTGAGTAATTAGAAACATTGGAAGCCTGAGTAAAGGGTGCTGATGAAGAGGGGTGGAGCTGAGCCTGTGCAAACTGCGGGCTTGAGCCTACACTGGCATCCAGGTACGCCTCTTCTGCCAGCGTCTGTTCAGTGATATTAGCCTCCTGCAGGGATTTCTGAAGAATGTCAAAGGGTTGGTCCTCGCCAAGGTCAGGAAGAGGAGAAGACTCAAGCTCATCTTCAAGAAACTGAAGGCTACTTGAAAGCTGCAGTCCATCACTGGGCCCTTCTCCAAGCTGGTTACTTACACCTTTGAGGGACGATTTAGGGTCAGCGTTCTAAAAAGCAGAAGCAGGGTATGTTACAAGGCACATCGAACCTTCAGAAGATACCGTAAAGATCTCACTCAGGAATAAATTCAAATAAAGCTCAATGACAGGTTTTCAGGGCACACCAATTTTTTGTTTGCTGTTAAACTCTGGCTGGCCTCGAATCTGCAGCCCTCTTATAAGACACAACTTTCTCCAAACTGCCTGCCTTATTTTTCTATTTTATTTCATTGCTTTGACAGGTTATTGTGTTGGTGTGGCAGCTCGCACCTGCCGTCTCAGGACTCGGGTCAGACTGCCAAGAGCTTGAGGTCAGCTTGGGCCACATAACAGCTGTGAAGCAGCTGGGGCTATATTGTACGACTGTCTCACACATAAATAGAGAACACAGTCGTGGTGGCATGGGCTTTTAATCCCAGCACTCTGGAGGCAGGTACAGCTGTGAGTTCAAGGCCAGCCTGAGCTACATAGTGATTCCAGGTCAGACAGGACTATAGAGTAAGACTTGCCTCAAAAGCACAACAACAACAACAAAAATAGATAGACAGGCAGACAGATAACAACATGACCTAACTAAGGACATCTTGGAGATCACCTTCATGTTTCTAAGCTATGGTGTCATATTTTTCCTTTCTTTCCTTTTTTTTTTTTTTTTTTTTTTTTTTTAAGCAGGGGTTCTCTATAGCCCTGCTGTTCTGGAACTCAGAAATCCACCTGCTTCTGCTTCCTGAATGTTGGGATTTAAGGAGCCTGCCACCACGCTTGGCTAGTTTTCCTTTTTGCAGGGTGGTGGTACTAAAGATTGACCTAGAACTTGACTGTGTGATACTCGTTCCCAGAAAAACTTTGTTTCTGGGATTGTTCCCAGTCAAAGACTTAATTGGGAGTTAGCCCAGAGGGGTATACATCCAGACCAATGCACCCCAAGATAGCAAATGGGTTTGTGGAGCTCTGGGTGTCGTTCTGCTAGAGGTCCAAGAAAGTACCCATTATAGCACTGAAGACCAGGTCAGACCAAAGTAAGTCCGAACATAAAATGGGTGCTAGTGCAACTTCCTTGAAGTGTTTACTTATTAACACTCAAGAATTAAGCAAAAGTATCTTAAACTAAAAGCATGTGAACAGCTGAGTGGTGGTGGCGCACACCTTTAGTCCCAGCACTCGGGAGGCAGAGACAGGTGGATCTCTGTGAGTTCGAGACCAGCCTGGTCTACAAGAGCTAATTCCAGGACAGGCTCCAAAGCCACAGATAAACCCTGTCTCGAAAAACAAAAAACCAAACCAAACCAAAACAAAAAAAGCATCTGAACAAACAAAAACAAACCCAGTTAACTCAAAAACAAAGCTACCATGTCCCAGATATGTACATATATGTAAGTTTTGTCCTTAAGGAACCCTGGGGAACAGGCAATCCATATAGAGACTATAATGCAGAGCCAGAAAGAGAAGCTGAAGACAGTAATAAAAATTAAGACACCTATTATAAGCCAGTCATCTTCTGTGAGACAGATTTTTTTAGAAAAGTAAAATAAAATGCTAAGAAGAAACAGTCACTTAAAATAAGATAATATGAAATTATTTAAGACTACTGCAATGTATATACAAAGAAGTCAAGACTGTAATTAATAAATTTGTTTATTTTAATTTGCTGCTCTGGGGATGGAACCCAGGGCCTCATGCATGCAAAGCAAGTGCTCTGTCACTGAGCTACCCTCAGCCTTAGCAGGTAACCCTGTTGGGTATACCATACTAGAAACAAAAAGAAAGTTAAAAATAATGTCATCAAAGACAACTATTCTTGGGTGTGGTGGTGCATGCCTTTAATTCTAGCAGAGTCAGTTGGATCTCTGTGACTTCGAGGACAGCCTGGTCTACACAGTGAGGCCCAGGACATGCTCCAAACCTACACAGAGAAACCCTGTCTCAAATAACAAACAAACAAAGACTGTGAGGTTCTCATGACGATAGTGAGTCCATGTTTGTTGACTACACGGAGAAGTGGTTTTCATGGGCCACTGTGGCAGTTTGTTAACTGAGAAGACTGGACATTACTAAGATTTTTTTTTAATTTTTTTTTTTTTTTTTTTTTGGTTTTTCGAGACAGGGTTTCTCTGTATTGTTTTCGAGGCTGTTGGTCCAGCCTGGCCTCGAACTCACAGAGATCCGCCTGCCTCTGCCTCCCGAGTGCTGGGATTAAAGGCGTGCGCCACCACCGCCCGGCGACATTACTAAGATTTACAGAGACAGCCAAGACTAATGTAACTCAGAAGTGGAAAGGGATTGGGCAGTCCCACAGCAGACCATCATCTGTAGGAGAGCGCAATGAAAACAAGCGATGAGGTGATATAAGTTTCAGTAGTAGTTCTTTTTGTGTGCATGTGTGGTGTAGCACAGTGCACATGAGGGTCCAGGTGTGCGTGCTCCAGCGCCCTTGCCTCACTCCCGAGTCAGGTCTCTCACTGAAGCTGGAGCTAGGCTGATAGCCAGGGAGCCCTAGCCATCCTCCCAACTCAGACTCCAGCACTGGGTTACAGGCACTTCTGCAGCTGGGCCTGGATTCTTATGTGGGTCCCCGGGGATTTGAACTCAGGTCCCTATTCTGACACAGAAAGTGCTCTCACCTACTGAGCCGTTTCCCCAGCTCCTACACATAATGATCTTTTTTTTTAAAGATTTATTTATTTATTACATATACACCAGATTGAATTGTAGATGGTTGTCAGCCACCATGTGGTTGCTGGGAATTGAACTCAAGACCTCTGGAAGAGAAGTCAGTGCTCTTAACCTCTGAGCCATCTCTCCAGCCCCCACATAGTGATCTTAGAGGGCCTCCAAGTAAGACTCCTCAGTTCCCATCCTGTCTAAATTCTCCCTGAACTTTAACAACGTAGGCTCCAGAAGTTGGGGCCTGAGTCAGAATCCTAGCTATGTGTCCCACGGCCACGTGAATATGGGCCAAGTAAAAACTGCTCTGTGCCTGTCTACAAGACAGAGCTAATGGTCAAACCACGTCCTGGCAGTAGGTACTGTGAGCACTGGATGCAGTGCGGACAAGTCCTCAGGGACAGGCACACACGACATCCTCCAGAGCACTGGTACTACATTTTTCTTGCTTCAGATGAAAATTTGTAAGTAACTATAACTAAAAAGTTTCCTTAAACTGATGCAGCAAGGTTGAAGACATTCTACTCTGCCTTCCTCGTGGCCAACACTGGAGTCATTTCAGAAGGCTGGAAGCTCAGGAAACTGAAATGCTCGAGAGAGTCCAGCGGGTGAAGGTGTCTGCTGCTGAGCCTGAGGAACTAAGTGCGATCCCTGGGACCCACATAGTGGAATGAGAGAACCAACTCATGGCTGTCGTCCTTCTGACCTCTGCAAGTACACATAGGGACACATGTAACCCCTCCCCATATGCATACATAAACTAAATGTTAAAAAAAATTGGTGAGGTAAATATCATAGAAGCCTGACTTCTAGACCAAAAGAAAACACCGACATAATTAATAGACTTTTCGTCTCCTGTAAGTTGCAGTGAGAGGCAATGGTTCTTACGCTACCAAAGCAATGAAAGTCTCAGGTCACAAGCTTTCTTTGAGGCAGAAAGTGTGCACTCTGCTTCTAATACTCACCGTGGAGTTGGCGAAAATTGAATTGGAATTGGCTGCAGAATATCCTGCATTCGTCAAGTCATCGCTGCTCTGCAAAGGGGCGAATTCAATATGGTGGTTACTGGCAGGGTGTGGAGAACCAAAAGCGACGTCTGTCTGAGACACTTGTGTGTCACTTACCGATTTATTACTAGGTCCGTGCAGAAAATAGTTCAATGCTTGTGGGTCTCTAGAAATGGAAGAAATGAGAGGGAAAACAAATAAACACTACTTATATTTAAATATGCTGCTGACATTTTTAAGAAGGCAAAAAGAAAGCAACACTATTAGCTTGAGGAAAAGCTCCCTATTTTAAGTCATTTCTTCATTTCTGGAATTAGCCTTGTATAGGCGAGCCCTCTAACAGTAAGCAACACCCAGGCCTGGTGTCTTGGGACTTAAAAAAACAAAACAAAAGAGGAATGGATTACTGAATTATGATGCATATGTGAAACTATCTCTTTTGCCCTCTGCTGTAATCGAAATTAATTATTATTTTTTATTTTAAAAGCCCAGAAGCTTTCAAGATATCTATTAAGCGGTTTTTGTCCCTCAAACCTCACACAAGGGGTCCACCTGGGTTCCGAACAAGCATCTTACCCAATAAGATCAAGGAGACACGAGTCATCATCATCATCCATGACAACTGCAAGGAAAGGGAGAGAGTGAGTCTGAGCAGGGGCCCAGCAGCGTGGACACGCGGGAAATGTGACGCCTGAGCTTTTCTGTCAGAGTAAGTGGCATGCATTCGAGCTTTCCTTAGTTGATTATCAAGTGTGTCATTTGAAAAACTTGTGTTTGGTGGGTCTAGTGTCATTTGTCAGTTGTCCCAGCTACTCAGGAAGGACTAAGTAGGGAGGGGAACTTGAGTCCAGGAGTTCAAGGCCAGCCTGGGCAAAGCAAGACCCCAGCTCGTACGTAAATAAAGAGTAAGTAAGCAAGCCAGCTGGTACACACCTGAGATCCTAGAAGTTGGGAAGTAGAGACCGGAGGACCAGGAGGTTAAGTAGGCCATCCTTGCCTACATGACAAGTTTTAGGCCAGCCTGGGCTATATGTGACCCTACCTCAAAAACAAAGCCAATAAAAAAATAAAGGTAAAATGCAGTTACTTGAACGAGTTTTTGACTTAAATTGTTTTTACTATAGATCAGTTTTCAACTTATGGGTAAAAAGTAGAAAAATCTAAGACATCTGGCAGTGCCCTCCTGCATGTGGATAAAAAGTAACTCCATCAAATGTAGAGCTTTAGAAAAGCTCTCACAGACTCTGGGGTCTTTCAGTGGCGTGACTGTATGCTTCTAAGCACGGAGAGCTTATTTTGGTGATCCCTAGGAAGGCAGGACGTGGCAGGCTCTCCCCACTTCTGGAGACAAAACAGGAGGCCCTGTGCTGCTGTCGATACGGGCTCTGGCCATGGGGCCTGCGTGCTTCCCAGTGCAGCAACACTAAGTTCAATGCTGAATAATCCATAGCTGGACTGAGAATGTTTAAGGTAGAAAATCTCCAGCAGACGTTCACCCCACTCCAGCCCAGAGCTCGTCTCCCTGCCCGCAGCAGCCCCAAGCACGGCCAGCACAGCTCTGGCCCAGACAGTAACAACTGAACAAATTCCAGGAGTGGTTCTCCCCCGAGAGCCAGTCAACTTACACTAGTGATCCGACACCTGGCAACCCTGCTTCTCACCCATTTCAAGCCATGCGTGGAATAATTTACATCACAGAACGCCAGGGCCAAGAGTTCTGGAGCAGTTGGAAAGGGCAGTTGTGAACGGCAGTTGGACGGAGGAATGAAATCCTGAAGAGATGCCCAGAGGAGGGGCATGCCCAGGACGGCAAAGGGAAGGAAGAGTCCTACGGAGAGTTTATTTCCCTGTTCAAACTCCCTTCTCCCCTTGGTTCCCCAGATCAATCACAAGGCCTAACAGATATAGAATTCCCTCCTGCCACAGGAAAGGCACTTTCTCTAAGCTGGAAGAGCATGGAAGGGTAAGTACTCCTTCCCAGGGTAGCTGGGTTTGCTGGGCTGCTGAGTGGTTGGGCTGATTACACCAGCTGAGTAGAACCCAGGTCGAGGAGAGGAGGAAGGGGGAGTGGGAGGCCTGTGCTCACTAAAAGACAACACTGATGGCTGAAACTAAGAACAGCCAAACATGGGAAATGGGCCCTTTAGGACCCAGGCTTAAAAGTTATTTGAGGTCATGCTGGCACGAATGTTGCTCAACACATGACTTCTGGAAACAGGACTGGGAAGGAAACAGGAAAACTATCCTCAAAGGGATGTGCTGATCTGTCACACAAGCGAGGCCTGGTGGCACGCACACATCTGTATTCTCAGCACTTGGGAGGCAGAGGCAGGAGGCTTAACGCAAGTTCAGGGCAGCCTGGTCTACCTAAGGAGTACCAGGACAGCCAAAGCTACATAAGAACACATCTCAAAAAACAAATACCATAAAACAGAAAACACATATGCAAAAGAAATGCACAATACATCCTGATATCTAACAAGCATTGGCTCATATCATTATAAACCACACCTCAGCTCCCAGACATCACAATCACATGGGATAAATTGTCGATTGTGATGTATCTTTTAGCCTATAAATTGCATAGGATTTACTTCAACATGGCAATTTAAATGGAATATCCTTTTATCCTTATTATCCTTACGTTTGTTTTATTTGTTTGTTTTTGAGACAGAGTCTCACTATGAATCCCTGGCTGTTCTGGAACCCTCTATATAGACCAGGTTGGCCTTGAACTTACCCTGGCCTTTTCCTGAGAGTGCTGAAATTAAAAGAATGCATTATCACATATGGTCCTTCTAAACTTAGTTTTTAAAGTTGAGAATAGGTCTTAGTGGTCCAGCACATGAGATGCTACGGTTTGATCTCAGCATCACAAAAGATACAGTGTCTAAGGCTCTGATACGAATTAATTAAGGAAAACATGAATGAGGGGGCTGAGGAGATGGATCAGCTGTTGAGTTTTATTCTTACCACCCACATAACAAGCCCGGCATGGTGGCACACACTGGTGTCCCCCATGCTGGAGAGCACAGACAGGAGGATGCTTGGGTTCACTGTCGTGCCATCCCAGCATAACTCACAAGCTCCAGGTCCCAGTGAGAGACCTCTCTCTCTCTCTCTCTCTCTCTCTCTCTCTCTCTCTCTCTCACACACACACACACATATGAGAAAAAAACTACCCCCAAAAAAACCATGTCCATACCCCTCTCAATTCCCCCTTCCCTGCTGACTCACACCTTATCTAGCTCCTCTACGTGACAGCTGCTGTCAGGGTGACTCAGTCCTGAGCAGTGAACACCAGTCGCCCCGTAGGGTCGCTCCCACCAGCCCTACAAGCACTGAGATTGTTAGCTCAGATTTTGAAGTGAAAGCTACCCACTGAGTAGTATTAACAGAACAATTATACATTTATATACAATTACATATTTGATAACGAGGATGGGACCCAGCTAAGAGAGTTTATGCTGTGAGATGAATCTAAGTTAGTGTATATTCTCCTTTACCAAACCAATGAGGCTCATCAAACTCTTGCTGAGAAAGCCAGCCCAACCAGGCAGGCAACCTTCTCTGGCCTGTGGGTAAAATGCTTTGAGCCTTCACATCCAGGGAACCCTGAGAATTCTTTTTAAAGGCCAGTGGTGACACACACTTGTATTCCCAGCACGTTCAAGAAAGATACAGGTGGATCTCTGTGAGTTCAAGACCAGCCTGAGCTACACAGAGACCTATCTCAAACAACAGCAAAAGAAGGGCTTATGAGAGGTCTCAGTGGGTTGAGGCATCTGTCACATATGCCTGGCAACCTGAGTTTCATTCACACAAAGGTGGAAGGAGAGAACCAACTCCACACAGTTGCCCTTGACCTCTGTGCACTCCCCACATAAAAACAAAACAAAAAGCTTTCCCCCAATTGAATTCTTTTGAAGATTTTTATATGTGCGAGCATTTACCTGCAATTGAATTCTTTTAAAGATCTTCATATGTGCAAGCATTTACCTACAAGTGTGTATGTGCACCACATGTGTGTCTGATGCCTGGAGAGGCTGGAAGGTGTTGGATCCCTTGGAACTGGAGTTACAGATGATTGTGAGCTGCCATGAAGGTGCTAGGAACTGAACTTGGGTCCTCTGAAACAGCAGCAAGCACTCTTGAGTGCTGAACCATCTCCCTAATTTAATATTCTAATTAGCTAATGTATTTGTTTAGTGACGTGCGTGTGTGCGCGCGTGTGCGCACGTGTGTGTGCGTGTGTGTGTGTGTGTGTGTGTGTGTGTGTGTGTGTGTGTATGTCATGGCTCATGTGTTGTTCTTGCCTCCCATCAAGGGAATCAAGGAACCAAACATCAAGCTTGTCAGAAAGGGCCTTGAGTCACACTGAGTCACCCCATCTTTTTGGATTCCTCCTTGCTTTCTGTATTTTTGTTGAGGTCTTCCACAGTGGTGGGATGGGCCACTGACACCTTATGAATTTTGTAAGGCTATGTTATGTGAAAGATGGATCCTTCTCTAGGGGAGGTTCCCAGGTCAATGACTGGATGATATCTTAGTCCAAGACAGGCAATTGGGTATGACAAAGTCTCGGTGACAGCAGCTCTATGTGGCAGGACTGGTCCTAGGGGCAAGTGTGAGATGGAGGTACAGGCTTGTCCTTGGAAGGCTACAAATTTCAAGTCCTTTACCAGGTGAACTTTACAGAGTAAAGGTGAGCGGAGCTGGTTCCTTCCTTACCTTGCCCTCCCTGGTGATTTGTGTGTGTGTGTGTGTGTGTGTGTGTGTGTGTGTGTGTGTGTGTGTGTGTGTGTGTGTGTGTGTAGAGAGAGAGAGAGAGAGAGACAGAGAGAGACAGAGAGACAGAGAGACAGAGAGACAGAGACAGAGACAGAGAGATAGGATCTCATGATGCCCTGGCTGGCCTTGAACTTGAACTCCTGCTCCCTGCTCCTCCTGCCTCCACCTCAAGCCACCACATTCAGCTCTCTGCTCTTTTCCTTCTTCAAAAAATACATCCTAGGGACGATGGCATTAAAAGACTGCCACAGAGCCAGCACAGTGGGCTAGCTTAATAAAGCCAGAGAAATCAACGTGCTGGCTCATCTCAGGCACTTTGCTGACCAGCAGCAAGGGGCGCCACTGAGTGAATTTCCTAGGCTGCAAACTGGCAGGAACAGAGTCTTCGGAATCCTGTTTGTCAGTTCTGAGACTTTACTCACGGTCTCAGAGTTGTTACTGCTGTGACAAAGACCATGACCAAAGCCACTTAGGGGAGGAAAGGCTTATTCCAGCTTAACGTCTACATCACCATCCATCATTGGGGGCTGAAACTCCAGGCAGGAACCTGGGGACAGGAGCTGAGGAAGAGGCCATGGAGTGGGGGGTGCTCACTGGCTTGCCCCCTGTGGCTTGCTCAACCTGCTTTCTTCTACCTGACCAAGGGAGACAGCATCCAGTGGGCTGGGCCTAGCCCTCCCACATCAATCATGAATGAAGAGAGCGCTCCACAGGCTTGCCCACCCACAATTCGACAGAGGCATTTTCTCAGCTGAGCCTTCTCTTCCCACATAACTCTAGCTGGTGTCAAGTTGATGACAATGAAAACAAAAGCAAAACAAATAAACAAAAACAACCATACCCCCAAACAATCGCTATTTCCAGATTTCTCCCCCGCCTCTCTTTTTGAGACAGGGTCTCTCTATGTAGCCTTGGTTGTTCTCGAACTTACAGAGATCCGGCTGCTTTTACATTTTTCAGCTGTATGTGTCCATGATGTATGTAGGCATGTATAGGCTATGGCATACATGTGGAGGCCAGAGGATCACTTTTCGAAGTCAGTACACTCCTTCCACCTGTAAGTGGGTTCTGGGGATCAATTTTAGGTCTTCTGGCTTGCATCGACAGGTGCCCATATCTACTAAACTATTTTCCTGCCCACCCCCCCCCATTTTTTAAAGGGCTCCTGTAAACTAAGGTGGCCTTGGATTTGCTATGAAGCGGAAGATGATCTTGACTTCCTGAACTTTCTGCCTCTGCCTTCAAAGTGCTGGGGTTACAGGTGAGCGTTTCACATCTGGTTTACGTGGTACTGGGGATCCAGCCCAGGGTTTTACGTATGCTTGCCAATCACTCTCCTAGCTGAGCCACAGTCCCAGCTCAGACTTCCTTAATTTTATTTATTTATTTATTTTATTTTTATTTATTAATTAACTTGTGTGTGTGTGTACATGTCAGGGCATAGCTGGTGGAAATGCATTTTCTTCTCCCCTTGTTAATATTTAATAGAGGGTTAACTCCAACTTTTCCTGAGGCCCTTTTGAGTACTTCATCTGATGCCTCATGAATTGCACATTTCATTAGGTGCCCTGAGTGAGCTCCAAGTATAGTTAGCTTTAATACTTATGGGTGGTTCTTGAGATGTGTGCGGAGTTTTCTTTTTTAAGATTTATTTATTTATCACATATACAGTGTTCTGCCTACATGCCAGAAGAGGGCACCAGATTGAATTGTAGATGGCTGTGAGCCACCAAATGGTTGCTGGGAATTGAACTCAGGACCCCTGGAAGAGCAGATGGACTGATGGGCTGCTCAGTGGTAGACGGTTTGCCTAGAATGTATTAGGAAGCTCTATGTTCAATCCCCAGGACTGTGCAGCTCCGTCTATTTTGGTGCCCTGCCCCCGTGGAGTTTAGCCGTGTCACCTTCCAGCGTCCCCTCTGTGCTATGGACTAATAGTGAGCTGGGGCTTGTCACACTCATTTCCCCTTCAGGGACCACTGTTCTGTGCTCCCTCACGTCCACTGCCTAAAATCCACTGTTTTATATATTATGTCCAACAAAAACTTACATTAATTTATCCATGTGGGGATGGAGAGATATCTCAGAGGTTAAGAGCACTGGCTGCTCTTCCAGAAGTCCTGAATTCAATTCCCAGCAACCACATGATGGCTTACAACCATCTGTAATGAGATCTGGTGTCCTTTTCTGGCATAAATTTGTACAAGCAGATAGAGCACTCATATATACAAAATAAATATTAGAAAGTCCTTTTCTGAATGAAAGAAAGAAAGGAAGGAAGGAAGGAAGGAAGGAAGGAAGGAAGGAAGGAAGGAAGGGAGAGAGAGAACATTCAGCTGCAAGCCAGGTGTGGTAGTGCATGCTTTTAATCCTAGCACTACAGATCTCTGAGTTCAAGGCCAGCCTGGCAGACATAGCATACATAGTTCTAGGACATCTAGGGATACTTAAAGAGAGACCCTGTCTCAAAAAACAAAAACAAAAAACAACCCAAAAATCCACAAAAATCAAACTTATTTAAAACAAACAAACGAACAAATGAAAAAAGGTAAATACAATGTTTTGTACGACCAAAAGCAAGGCTGAAAACTGGATCTATTTAATGAACAGTTTCCAATGAACACCTAACTCAACAAGCTTGTTACGCAATATCCACTTACTGGTGGTGTGAAAGAAAATGGCCCCCAAAAGGAGAGATGCTTTGTTGGAGGTGTCGTTTTATTGGAGGAGGTGTGACCTTGTTGGAGGAAGTGTGTCACTGTGGAGGTGGGCTTTGAGGTCTCCAATGCTCAAGCCACGCCCAGTGTCTCAGACCACTTCCTGTTGCTTGTGAGTCATGAAGTAGCCTCTGCTTTAACACCCTGTCTGTCTGCATGCTGCCTTGCTTCCCACTCTGACATAACAGACAAAACTCTGAACTGTAATCTACCTCAATTTATTGTTTTCTTTTATAAGAGTTGCTGTGGTTATGATCTCTTCACAGCAATAGAAACTCCAAGACAAACTTTTTGCTGTTTTTTTGAGACAGGGTCTCTCTACATCGCCCTGACTGTCCTGGAACTCACCATGTAGATCAGGTTGGTTTTGAACTCATAGAGATCCTACTGCCTCTGCCTCCGGAGTGCTGGGATCAAGGGCATGCACCACCACCCAGTATCAGAATAGGTAGCATTTTAATGTCGTTAGGATAAAGCATTGTCACTGCACTGCTTTGCTCTGTGGTATTCTGCGCTGTTACTTTAACCGCAGGAATCACCTCTGAAAAGACTGCTACTTCTAAAGAGTCATTGCCTTTGAGAAGATGGCATGCAGGGACTCATTGCAGAGGCTGGCACGATGGCTCAGTGGGCTCAGGTGCTTACCACACACGCCTGACCTGAATACGGTCCCCAGAGCCAACATGAGGTAGATAACTAACTACATAGCTGTCCTCTGGCCTCCACACATGCATGCAGGCCAATCAGACACCATGCAAACAATAACGCCAGGTGGTGCCTCCAAAGCCACACACAGAAACCCTGTCTTAAAAACCAAAAAAAGAAATCAAATAGCAATAATACATTTTCAGCACTAAAGGGATTACACTTGTTGGCCAGATTTTCCTAACTTTTTCAGGTGAACTTGCTGCGAGAGTCTTTCCAGACTAAGAGCTCTAACTTAGGGGTGGGGAAGCAGACGGTCCAATGGACTGAAGCTAGGACGGTTCTGAAAAGCTCCGATCCCAGGTCTAGTTTGTGTTTTATACTCCACAATCACAAGGCAGGGCAGGCAAGCAAGATTTTACAGAAGCCTTTGTGCCAGTCAGCAGGGTGTTAAGAGCAACAATTCAGTGTTTCAGCTATTCCTCCAGGTCACTCTGTCCCAGGCAGCAAGTGAAGTCATGCTTGACAATAGGTAATACAAGCAGGGCTTTAAGTTAGTCACTAAGTACATCAATAAATCAATACCTGATTCTACTTCAAACTCACTGGCTTTCTTGTGAAATAATGACATTGTGTAAGTTAGAAAATAACATGATTATATTTTCATAGTTATAGCCATCTGTAGTTAAAAAAGGAAAAATAAAGCCAGGTAGTGGGTGCGCACGCCTTTAACCCCAGCACTCACGAGGCAGAGGCAGGCGGATCTCTGTGAGTTCAAGGCCAGCCTGGCCTACAGAGTGAGTTCCAGGACAGCCAGGGCTACACAGAGAAACCCTGTCTTGAACCTCCCTTGCTCCCCCCCCCAAAAAAAGAAAAGAAAATGAAAGTGTCACAGTAGGAGAGATGACTTGGTAGGTATGGTAGTTGGAATAAGAACAGCTCCAATAGGCTCATGTATTTGAAAGCTTAGTCACCAGGGAAAGGCAACATTTGAAAAACTTAATCAGATCAGGAGGTGTGGCTCTGTTGGAGGAAGTGAGTCCTCTGGGGTGGGCGCTGAGGTTTCAAAAGTCCATGACAGGCCCTTGGCCTGTGGACTAGGATGTAGCTCTCAGCTACTGCTCAGCACCCTGAGTGCTGCCATGCTCCTTGTCAAGATGATATCGGACTAAGCCTTTGAAATTGTAAGCAGGAAATTAAATGCTTTCTTTCATAAGAATTGCCTTGATCAGAGTGTCCCTTCACAGTAACAGAACAGTAACTAAGACAGTAGGAAGAGTGCTGACCATGTAAGCCTAACACCTCCAGTTCAAATCTCCAGAACCCTCATGGAAACTAGACACAGCAGCAAACACATCCGGAATTACTGTCTCCAGACAGGAGAGATCCGGCGTGTGCATGCGCACGCACACCCACACCTATACAAGCGCCATAGTGCGTATGTGGAGGTCTCCAGGACAACCCAGGGAACCAGTCATCTCTTACCACTTAGGTCCTGGTAGTGAACTCGGGGTCGGCAGGCGTGGCGGCAGGTGCCTTTCCTAAGTGAGCTACCTCATCAACTCCAGGCTTGTTTGCTTGTGTGTTTCGTTTTCCCTTTTTAAGACAGGGTTTCTCTGTAGCTATGGAGCCAGTCCTGGAACTCACTCTGTAGACCAGGCTGGCCTTGAACTCACAGAGATCTGCCTAACAAGTGTTGAGATTAAAGGCTCGTGCTACCACCGCCCAGCTCCAGTTTTTCTACTTAAAAACATAGGGACACTTGCATGTGATGTCAGTCCTAAATAAAGGCAGGGAAGTTGCTATCAGCAGCCCCACCCTAGCCTAAAGTTCACTGAAACACCATCAAAACTAAGTTAAGATAGTTCCACTAGCAGAGGTTATGACTCAAATGGACTTAACAGACACCTGTAGAACATTCTACCCAAACACTAAAGAATATACCTTCTCTCAGTACCTCATGGAACCTTCTCAAAAACTGACCACATATTCTGTAACAAAGAAAATCACAATCGATAAAAAAAAGGAATAATCCCATGTACCTTATCAGATCACCACAACCACTGAGTCAAGGAAGAAATAAAGAAAAATTAACTTTCTAAAATTCAATGAAAATGACAGCACAATATATCCAAGCTTATGGGACACAATGGAAGCAGTGTTAAGAGCAAAGCTCATAGCACTAAATGCCCACAAAAGAAGCTTGAGAAATCCCACACTAGTGAACTAACAGAACTGAAAGCTCTAGAACAAAAAGAAGCAAACTCACCCAGAAGGAGTAGACGGCAAGAAACAGTCAAATTGAGGGCTGAGATCAATAAATAGAAACAAAGAAAACAATACCAAAAAATAAATAAATCAATGAGACAGAGAGTTGGTTCTTTGAGAAAACAAAATAGACAAACCTTTGTCCAAACTCACCAAAAGGCAGAGAGAATATCAAAATTAACAAAATCAGAAATGAAAAGGGGGACATAACAACATACACTGAGGAAATCCAGAGAATCATCAGGTCATACTTCAAGAATCTGTACTCCAGTCAGGCAGTGCTTGGGAGGCAGAGACAGGTGAATCTCTGTGAGTTTGAGGCCAGCCTGCTCTACAGAGTGAGTTCCAGGACAACCAAGGATACACAGAGAAATCCTGTCTCAAGAAACAAAACAAAACAAAAAAGCAAAACAAAACTCTGTACTCCACAAAATTGGAAAATTTAAAGGAAACATGACAATTTTCTGGATAAGTACTACATACCAAAATTAAATCAAGACCAGATAAACAAAATAAATAAACCTATAACCCCTAAGGATATAGAAACAGTCACCAAAGGACTCCCAACCAAAAAAGTCCAGGATCACATGGTTTCAGCACAGAATTTTACCAGAATTTCAAAGAAGAGTTA